AAGTTATGCCCTTTGGTCTCTGTAATGCACCGGCCACATTCGAAAGAATGATGGACTCATTGCTCCAAGGGTTTAAATGGTCAACCTGCTCATGTTATTTAGGTGACATTATAGTTTTCTCACCCACATTCAACTCCTATCTCGATCGCTTATCGGAAATTCTTGAAGTTTCTCGTTGAGCCAAACTTCAATTGGACTCATTGAAATGCCACTTTGCTCGTCGTCAAATAACCGTACTTGTCCACATCGTCGATGCCACAGGAGTCCGCCCGGATCCCGAGAAAATTCGCGCCGTCATGTACTTTCCTGTTCCGAAGCCAACAAAGGACGTTCGCAGTTTTGTGGGCTTGTGCTCCTACTTTCGACGGTTTTTTAAGGACTTCGCCGTCATTGCACGCCCACTCACAAACCTCCTGAAGGAGGACACCCCGTTTTTCTGGGGCGCTGATCAAGCCTCATCTTTTTCCCAGCTCACGACGCTCCTTACAAGACCACCGATTTTAGCCCATTTCGATCCATCAGCTCCAACCGAGCTTCACACTGACGCTAGTGGGCATGGCATCGGGGCAATGCTAATGCAACATCAACGCGGACATGAGCGTGGTATAGCATATGCAAGCCGCCTGCTATCTACAGCCGAGCGCAACTATTCAATCACGGAACGTGAGTGTCTCGCTCTTGTGTGGGCAATCGCCAAGTTTCGCCCATACTTATACGGGTGTCCATTCCGGGTAGTCACCGACCATCACGCGCTCTGCTGGCTGGCCTCAATCAAGGATCCCACAGGACGCCTCGCTCGTTGGTCCCTACGATTACAAGAATACACGTTCACCGTAACGTAAAAAACAGGGCGGTCACATCAAGATGCTGATTGTTTATCACGCTACCCTGTGGAAGAGGCTGCCCTTACTGACACCTTTCCAAACCTTCTGTCTGTGACGTAGCTACTCAACCTTGGCCACGAACAACGCCTGGATGCTTCCCTGCGAACCATCATTGACAAGCTTGAGTCAATGCCTCGCGATGCATCTCTGCAAATGTTCCTGGTAAAAGACGGCATCCTGTATCGCCGTAACCTCGATCTATATGGATCGAGGTTACGACTGTTTGACTTGGTCCCCGTCATACCAGCACATCTTCGTGTGACTGCCCCCAACCAACTTCATGACGCTCTTTTGGCGGGCCACTTGGGCGTCTCTCGCACATACGACCGTGTACGTCGTCGTTTATTTTGGCCTGGTCTTGCCCGCTCTGTTCGACTCTACGTCACCGCTTGTAAGCCCTGCCAGCGCTGCAAAAAGCCATCTTCCCTACCAGCTGGATTCCTTCAGCCGATCGACATTCCCATTGAACCTTTTTTTCGAGTTGGCCTCGACCTGCTTGGCCCATTTCCGATCTCCAGCTCAGGCAACAAATGGATCGCTGTCGCCACTGACTATGCGACACGGTACGATATCACACGAGCACTTCCAACTAGTTGCGCAACTGATGTGGCGGACTTTCTGGTATATGATATTATTTTAGTTCACGGAGCTCCACGCCAACTTCTCACTGACCGGGGCCGGACCTTCCTATCAGCTGTCGTTGATGAAATTCTACGCTCTTGCTCTGCCAAGCACAAGCTTGCCACTTCGTACCATCCGCAAACGAACGGTCTTACGGAGCGCCTTAACCGCACCATAACCGATATGCTTTATAAATACGTAGCGGCCGACCACCAGGACTGGGACGTTCATTTGCCATTTGTGACGTTCGCATATAATTCGTCACGTCATGACACTGCCGGCTATTCACCATTCTATCTTCTATACGGCCGAGAACCCGCCCTACCCTTTGACACCTTGCTTCCCTCGGTCACTGAGTATGCCGGCGAAGCTATCGCGCGAGCCGACCACGCACGCCAACTCGCCCGCAGCCGCCTGCAGGCTTCACAGGAGCACCAAACACAGCTATACGATTCTTATCATCAAAACTTGCACTTTTCACCGGGTTCCCTTGTCCTCTTCTGGTCCCCCACTCGGCGTGTAGGGCTTTCTGAAAAACTGCTGTCACGCTACACTGGACCATACCGCGTCGTTCGCCAGGTGACTGACGTTACATACGAGATCGTTCCAGCAGATTCAACGTCATCATCGTCACCTTCGAGTGACATCGTGCACTTCGGTCGACTCAAGCCGTATCACCCTCCTTTTACCGCATCCGAGTAGCTCAAGCACCGAGACTGTGCTTCTACCACCGGGGGGTTATGATACGCAACAGCCGGCACAGCCTGTCTGCAAGAAAGAGAAAGACGACGTTGGTGGCTGGTTGTTGATGAACTGTCGCCATCTTGTTCGCCGAGCACGGTGCATCGTATTTAATATAAATAAGTTACCCGTAACAATATTTATCAGGAAGCGCGTCTGCCTACATTGCTCTGTCAATTCCGCTTGTTAACAATACAGAGATTTTAAAAATATCACAGCTTACCAGTGAGAAGAGCTAAGTACGTTTTCACCAGTTACCCAGATTCGTTCTTTCTCGCTCATTGGCCTCGTTTTCATACACCACAGATAATTTATGTACAAAAGAAACTGACAAGTATAAATGCTAACATTAGTGACATGATTGTATCTGGTGTATCAAACCATATTCTTAATATAGAATATGATGAGATCTTTCCTTCACAATCTGAATTTCAATCCCGCAAATTCTTAGAGAACACGCTAGCAGATTTTCTACAGCATACACAGACATGTAATAAATAGCCACAGATGCTTTCGTCAATGAGGAAGGGGTAAATGTAGGAATAGTCTCCCAATCATTTGGCTGGTCATTTGCTGTGTGGCTACCCGATTTCACTCTTGTTATTGAGCAGAGGCATGGCTCAGTGGTAGAACACTCGACTGAAGCGTAGAAAACCCTGGTTCGAGTCCCGCAGCCTTTTGATTGTTCTCCATTTATAATTTTTTGTTTCATTTCGCGCGAGAGTGGTTGCAGACACTGGCGGTGGCGGACATCTATGGCACCGCACGTGGCCCTTGTTGTGATGTCGTAACAGCTTTTGTTGTGAAATGTATAAGTAGCGACGATTAGAGCGCCCATCAGTGAAAAGTGTGAGTACCGGTGTTATTAGGTGATTTGTTGAAGCAAGGAATTTCGGAGCGCCTTGCTCGTACGTAAAATTAGAACTTGTTTCTGTTCAATTTACTGTCAGTTTTATCAATAATTGTCAATTTCTGTATAACATCTTTGATGTTTTTATCGTTAATGTATACCGCATTTGCACTTTTTCTCTCATTTTGTTTTATTTTTGCCTATTATCATTCTGTTCTGGCTGCATAAGCATCCCAGCAATCGACTATGAATCGACAAAACAAGATAGTCGCATGACTCGAGGTGCGTGTGCTAAGCAGGGGTGGCGCCAGGATTTTTTTTACTGGGGGTGGGGGCACTGACGATGACGGTGGTGGGGGGGAGAGGGAGCCTTCTTGGAGCCACCCGTGGTGCCAGGTAATCTATCTCTATGTTTTTTCTTCTTCCCCTTCTCATTTATTTTTTTTCGTTTGGAGGCAAAGGTATCACAATAACGCAGACAACCACGGCAAACGGAAAACGTCCCGTGGTTAGCGGAATGTGATACAGGTGCCTAAACTGACGGCCAACAAAGAACGACACTCAACACAGGAACAGGTGCCTAAGAGCTGTTTTCTTCACCCCACCCAGTTAAGAAAACTATTTTATTCTGGCATATACCGTATGTCAACTATTGCAATGTTCGTTTTAATGTCCTAGTTGGTGACAGTGTCCAAAGCCTGCTCTCATCGCCAAGCAGTAATGAGAACCCAAGATAATGTTTTCTTCAGCGTACTACATGCAATAAATAGTTCCTCCTGCGTTTTCTTTCCTTAACGTCTGGATTCTGTGATCGAGTTTTGCCGTGTGTCGAGTGATAAGCGTCTTTGAGGAGAAAGAAGGTAAATTGACGATTACTTGGTCAGCGGTTATCGCAAGTGCGCTCACGCAAGAGGCCCAGTTGTGATAAGGGCCCAGTTCCTGGTCAACGTGAAGATGTCGGCGAACCAGCCTAAGCGAGCGCGACAGCCGAATTTCACAAAAGAGGAGCTAGCCATTCTCGTCGATGGCTACGAGGCGAACCGCCGGGCCATTGAAAGTTGAGGAGAGGGCCCCCGAGGATCTCAGGCCAAACAGAGGGCCTGAGACAACATCACGGCTACATTATTCGCTGTCTCGGGGATCGTTCGATTGCCCGGCGAGGTTCGAAAGAAATGTTGCGACGTCAAGAGCAACACCAAGGCACGAGGTAAGGCTCCTTTACGTAATCGTTCACCCACGTGCTGTAACATAGGCACTCTTTTAGGGTTGTAAGTATTTAAGCTTGTATTAGCGTAAGCGCACGTAAACACGCAAATAATCAGTACGCAATAACCGATATAAGTTCTGGCAACATCGATAAAGTCACTGCATATCAACTGCAGCAGCCCACCAGATATCACGTGTAAACGAGTGCCTGGTCACTGGTTCTTAGTTCACGACAACCGCAAGCATGTACTTGAGCGGTATAACCATTTGAAGAGTTTCACGCCGAAACAAGATTACATGTAATGCCATAGTAACGATAATGGGATGAACTTTTATCGCCTGAGGATTTTACCATGCACCTAAACACTTTTAAGTGGCCGCGTGTTCTTTTGTTGCGCGCCACAACACGGCTCCTGGGGCCAGGCACTTAAAAAAACAGTGACATCAATGCTTATGAGCTACCTACCTCAGCTCGGTATGCAAAGTGGAAGAAGATAAATCACTTCGCGTGTCACGCTTTTGCAATACTTCAAGGCATTGGTGATGGTGAGACCTAACGCAATACATTTGTGATATCTTTGTTTACTGAAGCGTGCAGTAGTTCTTGACTTGTATCCGGGTGAGTTGCGTCCCCCAGTTTATAATCTTACAAGTATGCCACACAAAACTGCTGCAGATACAGGTACGCCACTCATTACCTGCTCTTCAACAGCTGCTGCAGTTCGCCGCAGCCAGGTGACAGCTGGTGGCGGTCTAGAAGACGTGCCACCTCTGGACGAATTTGAGACCCGCGTGGCGAACGCGCTGGACCCGGAAGCGATTTCCGGAATCTCTGGCGGCCTGGATGTAGGTGCCCCGAGTGCAGGTATGAATGAGAACAGGTGTGCCTGTATATACAGCTAGACAGCGCGCTTGCACGGCGGTCTCAGTAATGCGGAGATGAACGTATGTCGTTATAGCTAAAATTGAAATAATAATGGTTCTTTTACACTTCTAAACTTCTCGCAGCAGCTCGTGTTGAAAAATGTTTAAAAACAAGTCAAGAAAGTTCTAATGTGCCCGAACTTTTAGGCAGTTGCAGCGAGAATCCAAGTAACTATTATACGAGAAAATTTTGCAAAGAAATTACACTTGCAAAGGAGCAGTTGATAAATTGCATACAAAAAAATAGTGAAAAGAACACTTAAACTAGGTGCAACAGCGGGTGTATTCGTAAAAGAAAGCCAATTATGGGCGCCGCATAGATTTTGCCTTCCAGGATGGAAACACTAGTTGCATCGCAGTGGAGTGTGGAAGGAGGTGACATAGCAGTGATGCTGCTAGGGTGTGCTATAAGTACTGGCGCGGCATGAGGGGGTATATGACCATTTTGCAGCCCCCTCTCCCCCTTCAGACGCCCATGGAACCTATATGCAATATGAAGAGTACTAAATGTGCACTCCAACAAAAACATGGAAAAAAGCGACGAGAAAACGATTTTACAGCAATGCAGACGATCACGGACAAGAACGCAACAAGGGTAAAAACGGATATCAATCATGAACAATGGGTTTATGATGACCTTATGAACAGAACCGCAAACCACCGCATTATTATGAGCCACGCTGCAACAGAAAGACAGGTAAATTTCTACCACCCGCGATATGTTATTGTTAGTGGACGCCACACATTACACATATCAATAAGCTTTCATCTTTATACGACCGTCGAGGATAGAATCGAAGCCGCGACTCTTGTGTCAGCAACCAAGCAATAAAATTCCTTATTCACAGAAGTAGCCAGAGAGAACATAAAATTTCATTTCCTTCTTGTTGGTATGAAAGGCTGATGGACATTAATCTCACAGTTCCATATGGCTTGACCCTTGGAAGAAGCTATCCCGCATATGCTACACGTTCAGAAGTAGTTAAACTTTTATTTTTGTGTTTTGAAAAAAAAAAGCAACAGAGCACATATACCTCTGGCAAGGGGAAGCAAGTAGACTGCGCGGGGTGCCTAAAAGCATTGTAATTCAGTACACCAGGTGACGACACCCTTGACACAAACTGATGACGAGTACAGGGGAAACAGACCTTCTTTAGCGAAACTATACGGTTATGAAGCCTTTTTGTGTGCAACGCTTCTGTTTGCTCTCGCATGAAAACTAATTTGCATACTGTGCTTGTGGATGAGTTGACCCCAATCCAATGATGTACTTATGTTCTCTTGTTAGATGGACAGCCAGACAATCCCTTCTTTGCAAAGCTGTCAATATCAGGATGAGAATAACTGTTACAAGACTGCTTGAAATACCAAGTATTATAAAATTGAAGTCCCATTTTTCTCTCTAAAACTCTAAAGTGGGGCAGCTCCAGATGTAGGTCCAATAGCGAAGAACACCGACAACCGTACTGTTCACTGCATTATTTATTTGTGCTGCAATACCTTAAAAATCACCGTTTTTCACTAGTTGACGCACAGTGCTTTGATGACCTGTTGATATTGCCACATGATATGCTTGGTTTAGATCCAGGTGTGAAAGAAGACAACGACGATCTGTCTGAGCTGCTGCTTGGCTACTCGACTCAACGAACCCATTAAAACAAGTTTGTCTTAAGAAACGTGACAAGACTGGTGGAGTTGCTGGGTACAACGTCTCACAATCCACCCGATGCCCAAGACCCCACCCAGCAGCCGGAACACAAGCCCTGCACCCGTGGACACTCCTGTTCACAGAGTAAGCCGCCGCCAACGAGGCCTACCACCTGAGGACACCAACCACTGACGCAGCGACTATGACTTCGACACAAGATCCCGTGCAAGCTCCGACACCTTCCACGCCGATCTACTGCACCGTCCAGAACCCGCTCATGCCTAGCCCCTTTCATGGAGAGCATCATGAAGATGTTGACGACTGGCTGAGTGAGTTCGAACGTGTCGCAGCGATAAATTACTGGGATGATGCCGCGAAGCTCCGGAATATGTATACTGGCTTAAAGGACGGTGCCAAGACGTGGTTTTTGAACAGTGATGATGTCCTGACATCTTGGCGCGAATTCCAGCGTCGCCTTCTGGAGACCTACAGGAGTCCCGACCGCCGCGAACGGGCGGAGCGTGCACTACAATCACGCATCCAGATGCCAAACGAGACCGTCTCGATGTACGTTGAGGACATGACACTGCTTTTTAAGCGAGCGGATCCTGCTATGTCAGAAGAAAAAAAGTTGCGCCACCTCATGCGTGGTGTGAAGGAACAACTTTTTGCTGGTTTGGTGCGTAGTCCCCCCAAGAGTGTTGCTGAGTTTCTTACTGAAGCGGCAACAATGGAGCAAGTACTGCACCAACGGTCTGACCTGTTTGACCGTCAAGTGAATGCTGCCTCAAATCCCGAAATTTACGCCACCCCTGGGAGCAAGAGCCCCGAATGGATTCGCGAGATTATCCGATCTGTCGTCCGGGAAGAAATGGAAAAGATGTACGGGACAAGGCAAATCGATGTTGGTTCTATCACCAGTGTCATCCGTGACGAGGTCCAACAGGTGTTGCACGCCCATCGTTTTCCGCCGATGTCGGTTGATCCGGAAATGGCTCCTGTGTCTACTGACAGTCGCCGTCGTACGTACGCGGAAGCCTTGCGATCTGCCATGTCTCGTTCTGGTCAAGGAGTCCCGACCCAGCCAGTGCCGCACGTCCCGATCCAGACAGTACCACACGGCCCGATCCAGACAGTGCCGCACGTTCCGCTTCAGACAGTGCCACACGTCCCGATCCTGACAATGATGCCGTCAGTCGCGATTCAGTCGGCGCACGCTGGTTTGGACATTGATGGTCGCCGTGCACTGACGCGCAAGTCTGATCTCTGGCGTACGCCGGACACAAGACCCCTCTGCTATCATAGCGGTGAGGCTGGTCATATTTACCGCGAATGCCCATACCGGCAACTTGGCCTGCGTGGATTTTCCGTCAATTCACCTTGTCCCCAAATTGGTCAAAGGCCGAGGGATATCGAAGAGTATCTCGCGCAACAGCTTGCACCCTTTACACGACGGCAATCACGGTCACTATCTCCGAGGAGACCCGCAGCCACTGGGTCACGTTTCGAGGTGACGGCACGGGAACGCTCTCCAAGCCCTCGTCGGGAAAACTGAAGGCAGCGGCCTTCGGGGGCAAGGTCGCTGGGACTCAAAGTGTGGAAGACCTTCCATCAACGCTTGCACGCAACATGAAAGGCATTCAATCAGAGAATAATCGCAGTACCGAGGAAACGCCGAAATCCACATCTGAACCCAGTGACCGCGTGTCACTTGACATACCTGTGCTGATTGACGGTTTTCAGGTCAATGCATTGATAGACACTGGTGCAGACTATTCGATTATCAGTGGGAGGCTAGCAAAAGATCTCAGGAAAGTGATTATGCCGTGGAATGAAACGCGAATTCGAACTGCTGGAGGACACGTTGTAACACCACTGGGTCGCTGTACGGCAAGAGTGAAAATTCGTGCGTCAACGTTTGTGCTCAGCTGCCTCGTTCTGCGCGACTGTTCACGTCAGCTGATTATCGGCATGGACTTCCTTCGGGAATACGGTGCCATCATAAATCTTCGTGAGCGCATTGTGACCTTCTCGACTCAAGGCGCAACAGATCGAGACGCTGATAACTGCCGTAGACCAGCGCTGCGTGTTGCTGACGACAGTGTGACGCTGCCGCCTCGAGCGACTGTTCCCATCGAAGTCATTTGGGAAGACCTCCGGGACGGTGACGTGGTGGCTGAAAGCAACCTATCACTCCTGCTACTCCAAGGTGTATGTGCCGCCCGCAGTGTTGTGCGTGTGCGTAACGGACAGTCACTAATACTAGTTACGAACTTCAACTACGAGCACCGGCATCCTTTCCGCGGAACCACCATAGCCTATGGAGACCCTGTTGCCGACGTCACCGAGTGCTTCGCGTCCGAGGAAACGCATGAGGATGAAGAATTTCTAGACCACATCGACATTAATTCGACGCTGTCAGACAAAAGAAAGGCTGCACTTTATGACCTTTTAAGGGAGTTTCGGTCTTGCTTCGCCTCTTCTCGCCAAGAGAAGAGGCAACACACCTCGCCAAGCATCGAATTATTACCGACGACGACGTCCGCCCCAACCGGCAGCAGCCTTATCGCGTTTCTTCTAAAGAACGTGCGGCTATTCAGACACAAGTAAAAGATATGCTCGATGACGGGATTATTCAACCACCAACAGCCCTTGGTCCTCGCCAGTCGTTCTGGTGAAGAAAAAAGACGGTACGCTGTGATTTTGTATTGACTACAGGAAGTTTAATAGCGTCACGAAAAAAGACGTTTACCCGCTTCCACGGGTCGACGACTCTCTCGACAGATTACGACGCGCGAAGTATTTTTCGTCCATCGATCTAAAGAATGGATATTGGCAAATTGAAGTGGACCAACGAGAGCGAGAAAAAACGGCGTTTGTGACTCCAGACGGACTTTACGAATTCTGTGTTCTTCCCTTCGGCCTCTGTTCTGCCCCAGCTACTTTTCAGAGGATGATGGACGCAGTTCTCGCTGGCTTCAAGTGGCAAAGCTGTCTTGTCTACCTTCATGATGTGGTCATCTTTTCCGAGAGCTTCGAAGAACATCTGAAGCGCCTGAGAAAGGTTCTGGACGCCTTTCGCACAGCTAAACTCACGCTGAAACCCCAAAAATGCCATTTCGGCTATGAAGAGCTGAAATTTCTGGGACATGGTCATTATTGCGGATGGAGTGCGACCTGATCCAGACAAAAACTGCTGCTGTCGCCGCGTTCCCTGTTCCATCAGATAAAAGATGCAGTACGCCGTTTCCTCGGCTTGTGTGCGTAT